GCTCCTGTCTCAAGCGCGCTGTGGACCTGGCCGCCCCCCACCCCCGCCGGCGCGCCCCGATCCCTCCCCTGTGCGCGCTGGAGCCCGCCCCTGGCCGCGCACCCCCACCCCACAGCCTGCTCCTGGGGCCCTGACGCGGCCTCCCGTTCGTGACACTGTCGGAGGGGAAGGTGTCCTGACCTCCACATTGGAGGAGAGGCAGGCCACGGTTCCTTCCTGCACCAGAGGCGGGACTGAGGTGGAGGAGGCCGACCGGCCCTGAGGGGGCTGATGTCCAGCTGAGGAAGGGATGTGGGGGGCCCCATCTGCTGTCTTCCGGAGGCTTGGGGTCTGCAGAGGCTTAGGAGGAGGAACTGGGCACAGAGTCAGGCTGCAGGATCCCTTCCCCCTCTGCCCCTGGAAGCTCCCCTCAGTTAAAGCCCACCTGCCCCATTCCCTGGCTCGCCACCTACGGATGCCCGGGACAGCTCCCAGCCTCAGTTTCCAGCTGTGTGGAAGGGGATTCGGCCTGTCCTTCTTAGGACGATCGTGTTTCCCTACTAAAGGGAGGAACTTGGTTTTCGGAGTTAAGAAAGAAAAGAGAGGCAACAAAGTCCAGGTGGCCAGCCTGGGGGGGGCGGGGGCGGTCCTGGGCCAGGGTCCGGTGCGGCGGGGGTCCTCCAGGGCTCTGAGGGGCTTCCCTGAGACTCGGGGCCCAGGTGCTCTGGCCGGGCGACCACTCCATCCACCACTTGGTGGCAGCAGATGCCCAGGGCACTGTCGGCCACTCATGATCCTGCAGAGCCAGTGCCCGGTGGGCCCCAAGGTGGGCCCCTGGGTGACCCCCACCCTCACCAGGGCTGGAGTGTGTAGGGGGCTAGGTGGCAGAAACTCCCCTCCATAGACAAGCAGATGTCACTTGGGGTTCTGGGACTCCTTGGCTCTTCCCAACCCCAGCAGCTTTGGGTCTGCTCTGCACCCCCTTCCTCAGGGGCTCCCACAGCCCTGTTCCAACCTCCTCACCTTGGCCCCTCTGAAGCCACTGTCCTGCCCTCCTCCAGTCCCAGGTCTTGGGCACCCCCCCCTCACTGCACACTCCAGTCCCAGGGCCCCCCATCCGTGAGTCAAGGTCATCCGCCTGTGGCACTGAGGTCATCCTTCATCCGGTTGCCAGTGCAGACCTCCACAGGGGGGACAGGCTATGTCAGGGATTGTTCTAGATCCTGGAGACCTCCAGGGGAAGGAGACGGGGTCCTCACCCTCAGAACCTGCCAACCAATCGAAAACAGAACCCACGTGCATAAACGAGCAGAGCCACCACACAGGGTGGTCCCAGGAGCCCCTGAAGAAGGTGGCCTGCAGCTGGGCCTGCTCCCAGGTGAGGGCAGCCCAGATGTGAGGCCTCCCTGGTAGGGCTCAGTGCAGGTGTCCGGCAGACCCAGGACTGCCAAACAGCTTGTGGCGGGGGCTCCCAGACACGGGCCCATGGGCCCTGGCTTCAGCTTCGGCAGCTTCAAAGCCTTAGCCGGTGGGGCGCCACCGCACATCCGCAGTCTGGCCATGGGGACACTCAGAGGGAATGGCGCCAGGCCTCCCCGCGGCAGAGGAAGGTACAGCCGGGCCTCAGAGAGGCAGCGTGCACTCAGCTCTCCGGCCATGCTGGGAAGTTGCGTGGGGACATCTGTGTGAGCAGCTACTGCGCCTGAACGGGGCTCCGGGAACTGGACACTGGAGTCTTCAGCGTCCCAACCACTCCTGCCCCTTCCAGTCCCCTTCTCTACAGGCCTCACACGGCCCCGCTCGCTGACCGAGAAGGGCAGAGCAAGGCATTGGCAGGGAGGGGTCCCAGATGGGCCCCGGACGAGGGCTGGCCTGACGGAACCTGGCCGTGGCCTACGGCACAGAAGGAGCGGGGCGGCGGGGGGCACCCTGCTCCTTGGCCTTAGCCAGCCCGGGGGCCTCGTTTGCCCTTGACTGCCAAGGGCGAAGCCCGGGCCCCCAGGCCAGGCCTGCGCTCACTGGCAGAACAGAGGCCCTCGGGGCCTGGCCTTCTGGGGGCAGCCGAATTGCAGCCGTGTGTACAAGCTATCCTCCCGGGGGCTTCTCCTCTCTGGTTTCACCGGCCGCTGGGGATCAGCTCCGCCATCACGGCTGGCACCCTTGGCCTGGGCCACCTCCGCGGAACACAGGGCCGGGGTGAGGTGCCAGGCGAGCAGCAGGTGCGAAGCCCCGCCCCCGCCGCCCCTGCCTGCACCAGGGCTGTCTGGAGGTGGAGTGCGGACCGGGCTCACCTTGTCGCAGCTGTCCCGGCGTCACGGGCAAGACGCAGCAGCCATGCTGGGGCTGGAGGCTGAACGGTTGAACCTGACTGAAAGCCACCTGCGGAGGTGACTGGCAGTGAGTGGAGCTTCCCTGGAAAATGATTTCTGATTGGTTCTGATGCTGGAGCTGCAGACACAGATTTTTATGAGCCCAAATTCATGTTTACAAAGACCATTTCAGCCATTCCCGAGAGGCCCCCTCAGACGTAGCAGCAAGTGCTCCAGGGGCAGGGGTGGGGGGCCCCTCCCTGCAGCCCACTCTCTGCTCTCCCTGGCTTCATCCACAGGGAAGTGAGGGCGCTGTGCGTGATGACCTAGAACCCCCTCCCTGCCAAGGTGCCCGTCCCAGCATTGGGCATGTGTGGCCAGCCGATCCGGGGCCTCTCCCTGCCCAGCATCTTCCACTACCAAGGAGCAAAGGTCTCGGCTCCCGGTGCTCTCAGAGCCAGGGTGGGGACGGGTTCCTTGCTCCTCTGGCCAGTCTGATGCCCCCAGGAGCCCAGCTGGGGCTCCCCATCAGCTTGAGCCGGGGAAACCCTGTTAGCCAGACC